AAGATCAAATCATAACGTGGGTAGGTTACACTAGAAATCAAAACAGTTACTTCGATAACCAGACGTTGGAGGCGAGCTGGGAACGACAAAGCTGATATCTAATCTAAACAGATTCCCATCCGAATCAGCCAAGTGTTAGAACGTCACATTTGGCGCCGCGACCAATACCAAGTCACATTGGTCGTCACAGGATAGCACGAGGGCAGAGAAGCACAGGGTGACGTTGCACTATGACATTATTTTATTACATAAATATTCTCCGAAATCTAGCTTTGACTTAAAATTTACTATAGTCATCGCTTTAATTTACTGATGATGTCGTGTATGGTAACATATACTTTCAAAATAGGCACATTTATACACATAAAAAAAATAAAAATTATTAAAAAAATCTTTGTGCGTTGTGATTTGTATTAAGTTTTTCAATTTTTGATTAGTAAATATAGTTTTTTTACTTAATAACAATCTTACCTAACGCAATCAAAATGAAAACAATTCTTGTAAAAATACATTACTCATTGAAATTTTTTTTCTTAAGACTGTAATGTCCTTAACCTATATTATTATTTGAATTGTTTGCGACGATGGATTTCTCGCCAATTAAATCATTAACCTTTGCATTTGTTTTTGTGTGAATAATTCATGAATTGTAAATTGATTGCACGTTTATCGTAATTAAAATAACTGATCCAAGTGCGACTTTTGGATAATAAGTGCGACATTACTGTAATTATTGAACAATATAGTTCATGCCACTTTGACAGAAAATTTACCAGTAAAAAATTCGTTCATCACCATATTTATATGAACGCACAACCTTTAAAAATTTAAAATCAAACTCAGCGTTGCTACTGGCGCGCTCCAAAAACAATAACTCATTTCCAATAGCATTTTCGGATACAACAATACATATATTTTCGTTGTCCTCTTATTACTAAGAGAAAAAACAAGAACAACATCTATTCCATACCTGAAGATGTTTGTAGGAAACAGACGAAAGCTTGAGTAAAAAATAAGAACTAATACGGCAGAAATTTATAGAAACAAGGATCTTTTCATTCATAACGGATTCGGAGGTTTTTGTATATTATTTGAATTGTTTGCGACGATGGATTTTCGCCAATTAAATCATTAACCTTTGCATTTGTTTTTGTGTGAATAATTCATGAATTTGTAAATTGATTGCACGTTTATCGTAATATATATATATATATATATATATATATATATATATATATATATATATATATAATAAAATAATTTTTAATTCCATATTGAAAGTCTTGGGCATGTGCATATAGCATAATTGTTATTGGCTCAAAGTGAATTCAAGTTCAAGTCTGCTATGTTTGTTTTATTCCAATGCTCTTGAGAAAGTTATGAATTCATTTTTTTCTCCCACCAATGAGTTAGACACCAGGAAGACTCTAGCTTTGTTTGACAGCTAGTTTAGAAAAAAATGAAAACTAATTTCCAAACTATGAAGAAGACTGTAGGAAGCCACCCCAACTTTAAAAGGGCTCTGTTGAAATAAATTATTATAATGGTACCTTAAAATGGTCTTTTTTTTCCTTTTAATATATATATATATATATATATATATATATATATATATATATATGTTGTGTGTATTTAGGCAGCATCTTTTCATTCATACACGTTTCATTAAATAATGTAGACAAGTGTTTATTCATTTTATGTAAATTTTTTTCGTAACATCTGATATGCTTAATAACATTATCGTTGAACGAAGAAAGAAATTCACAATATTGATCAATATTTTTTTAATACAATCTAAGCTTTCGGTTTACATAATCCATTATCAAAGATGTCAATTACAATATATTAAACAATATACGGACAAGACAGTGATGATAGTCTGTCATTGTTTACATAGCTGATTTCTAAGCAACGATAAACACTGCATATAAGACGCTAGAAGCGAAAATCGCACCGCATCTCATGACGTCACACATGACCACATGAGAGTGAATTTGAGATATATATATATATATATATATATATATATATATATATATATATATATATATATATATATATATATATATAAGTAAATATATGGATATATATTCGATAGTATGAAGAAAAATATATACGGAAAACAAAACAAAAACTTATATACGATTATGCTGTTTTAATGTTAATATGTCAACGTCTGACGAAACATTTGAAACATTAGAATAAGATTTATCCAAACAATAACTGAAAGTTATTGTTTGGATAAGTCTTGTTCTAATGTACATCGTCTTTGTCATGTTGTATTGATAATGTTATATTTATGAATATGTCCTGAAGATGGTTTATTAGACCGAAACGTCAGACGTTGACATATTAACATTAAAACAGCATAATCGTATATAAGGATTTTTGTTTTGTTTTTTCCGTATATATTTTTTTCTTCATATATATATATATATATATATATATATATATATATATATATATATCGGGTGATTGTAGTTGTTGAATATTTTTGTGTGTTATACCATTTTATACTGCATTTTCATCTGTGGAGTTCCTTAGCTCTAATTGAAAAAAAAAAACTACAGTTTATTTTACTTTTAACTTATTCGCATTTATTTAGAATTAAGCTGGTTTTTCCAACTTCTGAAGAGAAACGTGATTCATCAATCTCATTTTTTTTACCTACTCCCCATCTCTCTTCATTTCCCAAATCCAAGATCTCTTCTTCCACGACACAAAACGAATTTTCTTTTTCCTTGGAAGTTCAAATGAAGTATTTCCTGTGAAATATCCAAAGAAATATCCGCTTATTTCACTCGGGAACCAAATAAAATGGAAGTTTTTCAAGCTTGTAAACTTTGGTCGCCTCCCAAAGCAAACTGCTGTGTTTTAGTCATCATAGAGAACCATTTTCGCTATCCATCACTCAGCATGGCTAATGTAAACCTCCAGGGGAGCAAATGGAACTGAGAGCATTGAAACTAAGGAATGTATCTCGTCTGAACATCTGCCATTGTAATAGCCATAGTGTATTGAGAGGCTAGAAACGTCTCGTCTGTGGAATAAGCGTTGCAGGTCGGAGAAGGCTTCATCATCCGCAAGGTGACGGGAGCATATTTAAAATCTCTGAAAACTGTACAGTGTAGATTGGACAACCTCAGCCCAAATATGGTAGCAATATTACGTTCTTAGTCAGATATGATTCTTACTAAGACAGAGAATGGTAGCGGAAGTTACGTATTTTCTGGTGCGATAAAAGGAACGGATCATTATTCCAAAATTCTTGTTTTGCGATGGCATGAATATACGTATGCAGGGAGCGACCATTAGAATCGTTAGGTATGGAACCTCTTTGATTGTATAGCCACTCACCAGGATCATTGCCCGTTTAAGCTCAGCACGGTAATGTGGAATTTTTAGTAGTCTAGATTTGGATGTAGTGAATGATTAGGTGATTAAATGTAAAAGAAAAATCATCCACATGTAAAAAAGATGAAAAATAATGGAAACCTTAATAATAAAAAAAAGAAAAATCCAACACTTAATATTATTAACTTCGAACACAGCCGCAATGTGCTGTGTCCGGAAAAATAAAACATCTCTATAACATTAAAAACATACCCACAACGCACACACCCAATTAAATTGAAAAAATAAAATCATCCTTGATAATGTCTAAAAGTATATCCGAAAGCGCTCGGAATTATAGAACATTTGGAGACTTTCTACACACTCCGAGTCTAAAAAAGAAAACATTTATTCGAAGACAAGGAAAATTAAATAAAAAATCAGGTCCTTGTCTATCCTTTTTAATGAAACATGCATATATATATATATATATATATATATATATATATATATATATATATGCATATTTCATTAAAAACGACAGACAAGGACCTACGATTAAGCTTTTATATATATATATATATATATATATATATATGGGGAGATAGAGAGAGAGGGGGGAGAGAGAGAGAGAGAGAGAGAAACAGGATATAAACGTGGTCACTGAGATCAACACCAAACGGCAAACAATGTGTTTCACGCAATCTTCAGGACGACACAATAACATTCATATATATATATATATATATATATATATATATATATATATATTCTATAAGAAATACTGTTCAAACTCAAATCGAGGGAGGACCTCATAGCAAAAGGAATAGTTTTAAAATATAGAATGTTAAACTTGTTGTATTGTGGGATGGACGGACGTATTGCTCTTTGCTTATGGTAAAGTTCGCCCCAATACACAGAAACACGTACATTCGCAAAATAAACCTGAGATCAAAATATCGTGACAATTTTTTACACAAATTTGTACTAGAGGTTTGAAAAAATTATCCAATTTAAAAAGCCATATACTTTCAAGGTTCAACTGAGCTTTACAATGATGACAAATCTTGGTCGCATTTGATATTGAGGTGGGAGAAATTTATTCACACTCGCTCGCTCTTTCTTTCTTTCTTTCTTTTTTTCTATCTATCTATCTATCTATCTATCTATCTATCTATCTTTCAGTGTCTGTTTTTGCGTGATTGTATCGATACTTAATATGTCTATTTTATATTGCACACGGCCACTGGAACACCACACCGATTGAAAGAGATATAGCGAGAAAAGTAACGGGCTATGAAACTAACTGGCTAAAATTTATTTGACAGATAAATGCCCCAGTTTGCGATAACACACACGCGCGCGCGTGCGCGCATAATCATAGACATAGATAGATAGATAGATAGATAGATAGATAGATAGATAGATAATATACATAATCCACTCTGAAGAATAAGAGTTCACTGAGACAAATTGAGATAGATAGATAGATAGATAGATAGATAGATAGATAGATGTGAAACACTGGTATAGAATAGAATAGAATAGATAGATAGATAGATAGATAGATAGATAGATAGTAAATGTACAAACCGGCAGAGACGAATACATAAGTAATATAGATAAACCACACGGAAAAATGAGCATTAAATATAAAAACTAGTTAG